ATGTTGTTATACCAATGAAAATTTGCTTTTGGGAGCCGGGCTGTAGTTACACCACTGGTTCAATAAACAAATATACACCTGAAAAACTAAAAATATTTAAAACGTAGAGAATATAGATGTATTATTAGATCTTAAACATAAAAATATCCCTTCAATTCCACTGTAATTTATTCTGGGGTCCGGCAATTGACCACTCATCGTGCTCTTTGGGTAGCGGAAGGTAGTTTTTGTATTGTTTAGAGGCGTGACAACGCATCACGCCTGTCAACTTGTGTAAAATCGTGGCTAGGTAATTCTGCGCGACAATATTGTCAAAGGTTCTTGATTAAAATGATAAATTATAACTAACCTTTTTCGGCCACTGTTTAGAGTGCACCACTTTTCCAAGTTGTATATATGAGAAATGTTTAAATTGTCACTCCAGAGCACCTTAAATGAATTTATTTTGCTATTAGTCCCATTAAGTACTTTACTAAGGGGCAAAAAGGATTGAAGCCTCAATAACACGTTTATTGAAATAAGTTGTTATAAAAAATGTCTGTGAACTTAATCAATCTTCGCGATTACCCTTGTAAAATTACCACACCCGCTGGATAGCGAGATCCAGCGCCGACCTACACGGGGTCATCCCAACAAGGTATCTCCCCCCCAGTGGGACAGCGCTCCAGTCGGGGCATGCTCTAAGCTCTCGACACGTGGTGTAGTGCAATGCAACAAAATACTTGTGCGTGTAAAGGGTGAGGACAGGACATGGATGAGGAAGGAAAGATAGCCCGCGTGCCCTGGCCCGTTTGTAAGGTACTGCTCCGGCATTCGCCCGGTGTTGTTCGGAGGAACCACGGAAAACTACCGACAGAGCGGCTTGCAGCTAGAATTCTCCTTCAGACTAAAGAATCGTCGTTAATATTGTAGAGCACTTAATTAACTTTCAGAAAATCACTATAACTTTAGTCGATTTCTTTCATTCGCCGAGGACTACGCATTTTCGCTGTGCGGGCTGGGAAGCGGGATGTGGGGATGAGGTCTCCCAAAGTCTCAGGTCGTCAGTGACCTTCGTCTGGAGGACAAATGTACAAAACTTCATGTAGACTGGAATGGAACTGTAATTTGTATAAAAAAGTGTTGTATATATTACTTATAAATACATTTGCATTATATCATAACAAATAAATAATTAAATATTTCATTTAAACCAGGACTATTCCAGATACGGTAGTCCACATCGACCATAAGCCTTTTAAAGATGGCCATTCTTTTTGGTGACCGGGAGAAATTTCCCCGACTCCCCGGTTACCCGAGGCACTTTATTCCTCATAAAATTTGTAACTTCACACGTTTCGAAGAAAATAACAAATAAAAACAAGTAATTAAATTTCATAATTAAACAAATCAAGCGGATATTAAAATCTTCATATCTGAACCCTTTTACCGAAAATCAGAAGATTCTCCTGCACTCACTCATGTTTGACAAACCACCATTCAAAGCGTGTAGCACCTGTCGTCATCTATTTGGTTGCTTATTTCGCTGCGAAAAAAAGGAACAATGATTTAAGAAATAAAAATATGCCAAAAATAACAATGAATCAATATTTACTGAAGAATGAGAGCCTTCCTAACACAAGAAGAGGGAGAACCCACAAGGAAACTGTTCCATATGAGTACTTAGCTGTCCGGGAGACGCCACGTTCTCTAGGCAAGGGTACCACAGCATCTCGCCCTGAGGAAGGTCGCAGAATGGAGGACGAAACGTTGGCTCCACTGTAAAGGACGTGGCGTCTCCCGGATAGCCAAGAAGTTACTGGCTTCGGGCGCGGAGGCTACTCTACGTGGCAACCCGACCCCAGAATGAAGGAAAACATATTAGTGCTTTTATAGGATTCCGGAAACTGGACACCCCACCCACGATTAAAAGACGTGGGTGAGCTGCAACGGCGCACCGATTTTTGCTCGCTCTTCGGAGCACTACAACTGTCACTAAACATGTGCCCACATCACGGACACTTCGTTTCAAAACCTAGGGCAAACTCTTGCCAGCGTGCTGCATGCCAAGCGACACGTGTTTTGAAAGCGGCATGAAGTGATCATTTTCACTCGTGACCTACACAAATTAACATGAAGGTGTAGATGAAATATAAGATGCAATATTTAAAAGAAATGCTTCATCTATCTGTTTCAATAACTTGAAACAAGGTGATAGTACCGGTATCTGGCTGAATTTATCATTCCCGATAATACTGCGGCGTAAACTGGTGCCTGAAGCTCATTGGTTGAAGCGGGATAGGCTGCGCAATAGCCCACTCATGTCTTTTCATCGTAGCCCCACACCTTTCTCATGGACGCAAAGAAGCTGAACCTCGGAAAATGTAAAATGCCTCGAAAGACCTCACTCTGAACTGCTGGGTGACTCAGAATAAATGTGAGAAACGTCTTAGGGCCAGATGATGCCATTAATTATGAGCATGCTGTGGGAAATCACACAGTGCGCCAGGAAAATCTCTCCGCACGGAGCAGTCAGGGACACGTAACATAAATTGTATTTATGTTTGCAACAACCAGGTCAAAGCGAAACAAGTGAAGGGAACTCTTCCAGCATGTTATGGATGTGTTGAGTACGCAATTTACTTCTTTTTTTTACAAGCTGTGGCTACCAACATCATTTCTGTCGCAAACACTCTCGCCAGCAAGGTGCCACTGCGGAGAAACTTTCCTGGAGCACTGCGCAACGAAGTGATGCGTGGGACACTTGCTCACGATTTCAAGGCAACCCATCGGGCGCAAAGTCCCGTAAGTGCACGAAATCCTGTGGACTGCGCTAGAACGTGAACTGCCAAACACCCGTGCACGAAGAGTTTCCAACCAATCTGGATGCATTCTTTGGTTTTATTTTTCCTTTAATTCTGTTTCTGGCGTAACAGCGTCTCCAGTCCTTCCGGCATTGGACGTGAAGAGTAATTCTCCTCGAATATAGTCAGTCTTCCGTGAAATCAAGACAATCATTGCCTTTCATCCTTATCGGCAAGGAGCCCAGAGCCATTAGTACCCGGGGTTCCCAGACGGTTACCCATCCGGAAACCCGCGATAACTTGAGCTACTTCTGTAGCTTCACGGAGCTTCGGCTACCGGTGCAGGCATTCAACGCGTACCTTTCTTTAATGAAACTTACCCCGAGTGTGCATTGGCTAAAACCTATTATCTTCATCCCAAGATGTCAGAAACATTTAACACCCGCGTTGCCCCACACAAGTTTGTAACGTCTACTCTAACATCTGCATACCACAAAAATGTTACACGAGATTCCCTGATTTTTCTAAATCAAAGAAATTCCGCGTCTTTTCCAGAACGTCCCGTTTTTTCTACAAATACTTTTCTCGTGTGAAGCCTTCGATCGCCAAGGAGGCCTCATATCTGTAATATTTATTCCGTCTCTCTGCTTACATCCACTTAGACTTGTAACATTCATTCTGAGACCGATTATTTCGATTTATCCGATTAAAGCCGGTTTGTTTAACAATGCTCCGTGAAAGTTAAGCAAATCGATAACCCACGGATTCCTGGTTGGATGACGGTCAGGGAACCAGGTTACTGACGGCGCAGAGTTCCTAACCGAAGGGATAAAAGGCACCGACTGTCTGATCACTCCAGTTACCCTTAATGCCGAAGCAGGGTTCAGTCAACAAAATATTTAAACGCCATCTTCTTATGAGGCTTCTTGAGCCTCATGGGGGAGGCCTCATGGTTTTGATGATTATTCTAACACCTGCGTCGACCCATGGCAGTTTGTGACATTGAATCCGAGACATATTCTGATTTGTCCGGTCTAACGCCATCTTCCTGCGCAACCCTTTCGGCCTTACATCTGTACCATTCATCTTGTCAACCCATCGACGTTTCTCTCGTTCATTCAGAGGCAGAGTGTTGTGAAACGTCCCGGGCCGCGTGCGCGCGCAGGCGCGTCGCCAACTGCCCAAAGGGGGAGCTCTGGCGGCAGACGGGGCAGGCGCCGGGCGCGTCCGCCGGGTGGCTCTCGAACGCGTCCCTGCGCACGCCACACTTGCATGCCTCCGCGGCGTGCGCGCGCGCATGTGTCTGGCCGGGCCGTCTTTCTGGACGAACGCCTTGTCGCACACGCGTCACGCGAAGGGTCTCTCCCCCGTGTGTGTTTTCGCGTGGCGCTGCAGGTGCTCCTCGCGGGCGAACCGCTCCTGGCACACGGCTCGCTCGACCACCGCTTGCGGCACCTCCTCCCCCGCGGTGCGCGCGCGCATGTGCACTACCAAACTGCTGCGCTGCGCGAAGTCCTTGCCGCACACCTCGCACGAGTGCTTCCGTTTGTGAATGGCCAGGCCGTCCTTCTGGGCGAACACCTGGTCGCAAGCCGTGCACGCGAAGGGTCTTTCCCCCCGCGTGTATTCTGGTGTGCCGCAGCAGGTGCTCCTGGCAGACGGCACACTCGAACGCGACCTCCTCGCCGGAGTGCTTCCGCATGTGAATGGTCAGGCCGTCCTTCTGGAGGAACCCCTAGTCGCAGGCGGTGCCCGCCGAGGGCCTTTCCCCGGCTCCGCGTCCGTCGCGGTCGTCCTCCCGGCCCGCGCCGCCGGCGTGCGAGCGCGCGTGCGCCACCAGCCCGCTCCGCTGCGAGTAGGTCTTGGTGCAGAGCGCGCACGCGTGCGGCCGCTCCCCGGAGTGCTTGCGCATGTGCTTCACCAGCCCGTCCTTCTGGATGAAGGCGCGCCGGCACACGCCGCACGCGAACGGCCGCTCCCCGGTGTGCGTGCGGGCGTGGCGCTGCAGGTGCTCCTTGCGCGCGAACCGCTCGGGGCAGGCGTGGCAGGCGAAAGGCCGGTCGGCGGAGTGCGCGCGCGCGTGCCGCTCCAGGGCCTGGCGGCGCGCGAACCGCTTGGGGCAGGCGGCGCATCGGAAGCGCCGCCGCTCCGCGCCGTGGGTGCGCGCGTGCGCCGCCAGGTGCGAGCTGCAGCCGAAGCGCTTCCGGCACACGCCGCACTCGTGGCGGCGCGGCGCAGGGGGGGCGGCCGCCTCTGCCGCCCTCCCCTCCGCCCGACGCTCCCTCCGGGGCGGCAGCTCCCACTGCGCGCACGCGCCTCCTGCGAAACACAAAAGCCGCATTCTGGTGCACGCTCATTACGGAGTAAACCTCCGATTGATTGATTACTGATTCCGGGCACGTCAACTACCAGGGTCATTAGTCCCGTAAGTGTAGTGCTTTTTTTTGTTCGGAGCGTGACGGCGATCTTTCCCCCGCTGAATGGCGACATCCGGCTACCGTCGACTACTGGGATTTTTCCCCAACCAGATATCTCCCACCAGCTCCCACGGGCACAGCCCCAGTCGGGACAAGCTCTTAGCTCCTGGCGAGTCTCCCCCGTCATGTGCGGTAGTGTGTGTGTGTAAGGGATGAGGTTAGAACTAGGTGAGATCGCGCGCGATCCGTGGCCCGTTTCTTAGGGTACTGCTCCGGCTTTCGCCTGGTAAACCTCCGATATATACAGAATCCAACTAATTAGGGATGTGGTCTGTTTCGAAAAATGTATCGGACAAACACAACTACATCTACAGGATTACCAGACACAATGGATACTAGCGTGCGATGTGAGAAACTAGCAACGTAACGTAGGGACATCAAGTGGCAATGATGCGAACAGTTCGCATGCGGTAGTAGTTGTTACAACAATTTAATTATTACAATAATTATTATTTAATAAAAGTCGGCTCAAAGAGAAATCGGAAAGATATCTCATGAAAGATTACTGCCAAGATCTTCATTATTTATAACAATGTACTAGTATTGAATATGATTATTAAGTAAATAGGAAAGCCTTCATAAAATTATTAAAAATATCAATAAAGCATAAATCTGTAGTAAATTAATAATTATTGAAAATAATAAAAAAAATAACAATATACAATTTCCTTAAAATTACAAAAAAATGACAATCCAGTAAATGCTCAAAGTGTCATTTGCCAGGAGACAGGCATTTACTCTTTTCAGTGTAGTGGCTGCTGTATGTTGAAGACTAACAAGGACAGAAGAAGTGCTTTCCCTTTCTTCCAACTAAAATTAGCCACATTCTCTCACTCCGAAATCTGATGACACACAGCCGGGGGTCGCTAAAAGTGAAAGGGATGCCAAAGGTATTTCACGTCTTACCTAATTGTCAAAACCCATGGGGGGGGGGTCCTCATTTGCTTAAAAACAATCACTGGGAGCCAAATCAACAATTGGTTGGATCCCTTGGTGTATCATTTTTAAACCATATAGATCATATTGACAGTGGTTCATTATGGAACTTCAAACAAATATAAACTATTAAAATGTTGTACAACTCTCTAGTCAGACCAATGGTGGATGGAATATAGCGCCATTATCTGGACCCCGTTCACAAGGGATGCAATAGAGTATTATACAAAATTACAGCAGATCCAGCACAGATTCATTAGATTTCTGAAATGACTAATCACCTTTGTTAACTTATTTTTATCTGAAGACAATAGCTGATGTACTTTGTTTTGGTACAAATTTTATTGTTTTGACCATTATAAGCTATTTGGGGGGGGGGGCCTAATTTCAACTTCCAAATTTAAATGATTTCGATAATGATTGCTATGCAAAGACTAATGTAAAGGGAAGGGCCCTATGTATCAAGAAATAGATACATAAATATCAAGCAGTATAATATGAAATCATTATGAGAACAATGTTTCAAAAGTAACTCAAAAAACAATATTTGAAGCCATGCAAAGGGCAAAAGAATACGTTATATTAAATTCATGGTGCAATGTTGTAAAATCATCACAAAGTTGAGGATTTGTAAGCCCTAAAAAAATTTGAAATACGCTTTTAAAAATATGCATTTATGACCTACAGACTCTGAAATATGCACTAGGTAATTAAAATTAACAATATTTCATTTCCCATATAAACCGTTTTTGATGAGATTTCAGGAGAAGCATGCCTGCAATAAAAATATAAATTTTTGTGAAAACAATATAATCTACCTTACTTCTCAGGAGAAATAATTGAAGTAAATTATCACTTTAGTGAAGTAAATTGCATGTCTTGTTGCATTTTGTCTGTCTGTGATACCAAGTGTGAAAAATATATTTTAAAAAATCCTACATTTGTATAAACATTTTATTATCTATAGAAAAGAAAAATAAATGCAATAGCATAACGTCAATATAGTTTATCTTACAAAGTCACTTGGCCCACAAATAAATAGATTCTATGAAAAGATGAAATGTTTTAGAGATAAGTCTCTATTTTAACAAAATATGTGCCTCAGTTATGGGAATATGTACTAACAAGAGAAGACAGCCAAATATGCACAAATGTGGACTAACATATTAATCTACGTAGCATCCAATTCTAACCAAATTTCAAGAAATTTCACTTAGCTATGCCCCAATGCAACAGAAAAAACTATGCAATATCATAGAAATTCAGTCTGAGTTCATAAAAAAACAAACAATAAATACCTTTTAAGTGTTCTTCACCTTGATGCTTGACTTGTGCATGTTTGCTGAGACGCGTATAGAAGGCAAACCCCTTCCCACAGACTGGGCATCTGTAGGGCCATTGCCCGGAGTGTGTGTACTGGTGAGTAACAAGTTGATATCGCTCTTTGAACGCACGGTTGCACACCTGGCACTGGTGAGGCCGCTCTCCAGAATGAGCCCTCATGTGTTTCTGCAGATGTGCCATCTGGGAAAAACACGACAGACACTGCGGACAGCTATAGGGTTTACTTCCAGTATGTGTTCTTATGTGTGTCTTCAAGTGGCATTGAAGTCGGAATGTCTTGGAACAATAAGAACAAGTATATTTTCTCTGTGGATATGGCAGATTGTTTGAAGGAGATACTTGAGAAGTAGGGTCAGCTTTTGGAACTTCAACTTCAACTTCGACTTGCTTCCCAGGTCCATTTTCAATTTTCGCCTGGTTGGCTGGCTCGACATTTTTGGACGTACCTGAAAAAGAAACATTAATTTGAGGACAGTTTTTAACAAAACTCAACATCTACAAAGGTTTCAAAATCAAGTTCATGATATGTAGTTTGAAGTGAAAGGAATTGAATGGGGCATTGGGAATGAGGGAAACTGAATAACTACCTTTGAAAATGTAGAACAAACATTGATTTACAGGGAGAAAGAATTTGCAAAAATTAGATCTACAGATCTTACAATATTTTCTTCATTTTGCAAGCACTTTTTTACAATTTTACTGGTACAGCAGAGGAGAAAATGAAATTGAAACTGCAATTGCAACTGTCATTTTTTAACTAAGAGAAGAAATTAGTTTGTGAAATGCTTAAGATCTAATATTGAGACTGTTTAGACTCTTGTGTGTCTCACAGAAAAAAAGTACTGAATTACTCTATTTTCATAGAAATAAAATAATTAGTCGCTTATTTTTCTAAAAAATTGATTTAAGTGTTCTTAGAGAAAAAAAGACATAATATAAAGAAATGTCCACATACAGTGAGAACATCACCAATCACAGCCAAAACAGGATAGAATAATGTTTCGCAATGTAAGAAAATAGATAACGTTCCATTAAAAAAAGAAGTAATCATACAAGCATAAAAAGCACTGAAAACATTAAAAAGAATCTTAAATAATTTGACAATATTTCTAGAAGCAAAAATTTTTGGTTCAAACATTATCAGTGACTGTTTAATTATAATGAAGGAATTAAGATTCTGATGAATAACCAGTAATACTCCCATGTTTTTTCATTGTTTTCACTTTTCAATATTGAAAATTCCGATATACTGTGCTCCTTAGGCCAAAGAGAGACAAGATATCATCAATACAACGTGTGACAACAGTGACAATACAACAATGGCAATGCCACATCATGGAAATTTACAATTCTCAGAATAATTATTCATTGTTAGACAATGATTCAGGAAGGTAGTTTTGGATTGTCGAATGTATTGATGTACAGTAAAATCTGTACATCAATACATTCTAACCTGTACAAGCGGGAAACCAGACTTTACGGGAAAATATCTCCAGCTCTTGAAGTTAAATGGCATTAAATACAGCATAAAACGGAATCTCTCCAACACAGAAATGGAACGTTTTTTTAGGTCTTGCAGAATAAAAAAAAAAGCTTTATAAAGCAGAGTTCTTGTGAATTTAATGCAATTGGCAGAGGGACGCGAGATCTTCTTAATGAAATGAACGCATCTGCAAGCTTGTTAAATTCCCTATACCTAACGCACTTTAGTCATGGTAGCTGGACACTGAAATAGAGGGGCTTCAGCTGTTCATGTAGAATTCGGTCTTGCGGTCGCTTGAGTCTCAAGGTGCAGGCCGTAGAGAAATTCTCTCCCCCTCTCAACTCTCTAAGCATGGGAAGGTGTAAGAGCACAGCTTCTATTCACGCATCTCCCTGCCCGTCATTGACAATCACCCTCGATTACAAAAAGCATTGCAAGGATATCAGAAAGTCATAGTACAAGACATTAAGGTGTATATTTTTCAACTCGGAGACTGTCAATGAAGAGTATTTAATATTAATTTATAGGTGATCTCTTCCATAAATAAGTTATATGTTAATGTATTTTGATGATTATTATAGTCAGGTAATTTTCTACTTTTAGGGCAGAAACATCAATATCACAAATGTCGTACAATGGACAACCTTGCATAAATCAGAAACCTCCCTAAAACGGAATTTTTTTGTGTCAAGATCGATTTCGACTTAAGATTTTACTGTATTAGCCTTAAAAGAATTTGCTTTCACAATTAATAAAAATAGCCAATTCACAAATGATAATGATGCTGATAATAATAATAATAATAATAATAATAATAATAATAATAATAATAATAATAATAATAACAACCTTAATAATAACTGCATCTAAAACTACTACTGAAAATCAATAATAACTACGGATACTTTCCATAGCTCGATACTCTGGTATTATCAATAACGATCGATACTTTCGGGAAATGACTCAATACTTTCAATTTTTTAACCCATTTCTCATCTCTTCTGATTTTAAAGAATAATAGTCTTTTTCACATTTCTCTCTCCTATTTTTCTTATGTCAGCAAAAAGGAAATGTCAGTCTGTTTGGATTCACATATAGTCATTGAATTAGCCAACTCAACTGAGCAGTGAAAATTATTGATCAACTCATTAACACTCTAAACATTATTGACCATGCAAAATTAATGTTTCTGTTTGCCTATTGGCCTTAGGGACCACCTGTGTGCACTCATGCAACCATCTTCGTTCCGCATGTAATGCAGCTGGTAAAAAATATTTGTGCCAAATGTGCAAAAAAATTGTGTTTGGAGTTTTAACTAACAGTTTGAAAAGGATGCAATGAAGGGAAAATGTCAAATATGTAAAATATATCAAATGCAATAAAAAGAATATTTTAGCCTATACCATTTCTTTTATTTTCTTCATTTGCATACGAACTACTAAATACTCTAATCAATTATTAAAAAATATATCTCATTATTGAAAATAATATTCCTCATTCTTCTGGAACCCTCCCTTTATAATTTCAATCAAGGGAACCACATGTAGAAGGATCTGCGAGACCAGGTGCATACACTGATGCTACATAAGGTGGTGTGCGTACTGCCGGGTTAAAGTAGTATGATATCAAGTATCAAAGCTCTCAGACAGGTTTAGTGTATCAAGAAATTCAGGTATTGACACATCACTAATAATAACTGAAAAATTATACTTTTATTTTAGGAAAGATCATAAAAGAAATACACAACATAAAGAAGATAACAATATATCAGTTTCATTCAAATTATTATTCACAATTCCTTCCATATAATGACAATCATGGTATGAATACCATTTTTACTGGGATGAAAACATCAGTCTTAAATAGGTGTAATAAGAGAAAAAATTCAAAACTCAAACAAGTTTATTTATCAAACGTTTCTTTAAATAGTGGTTTAAAAGAAAGTTAAAAAATTACTTTTATATTTTCAGGTAAAAAGAATTGACCGCATCAACTGGGATTCAAATCCCTGATCTCTTGTTATATACTCATTTGTTCTCACCACTTGAGCTATGGAGATTTTTGTATCTTTGAACAACCTTTGGTATAGAAAATCAGTATTAATGATACAAATGTGAAAACCATAATCATTAACAACTGTTAACAAGTCAAAACAAAAAAAATGTTTGGGGGAAACTTCTTGTACCTTGTAAACTATGGATTTTTGCATAAAACACATTTGCTTGCAAAAAGATATAACTGTGGCCATAATACAACCAGATGCACAACAGAATCTACTAGTTCGCAGCAGTCAGAAGCAAGCTCACTTCTACAGGTATTATGAACAATAACTAAATTTAAATGTCAGGAAGTTTGTTTAAAAAAAAAATAATGGAAATAACCAAATGAATGTTTCACTTTACTTACCTACGGACCCTGAGTTTCTATTGTTCCCTTCAGAGCCAACATCGAAATCCTTCCCACACAAGTTATCCTGAAACATTTTGTACTTTGTAAACATCCTGCAAATCTTTGTACTTGAGATTCTATATACTCACTCTAATGAAACCTTATTTTCTCCTTTTAGAATTTATGAACAATGGAGTAGATTTTGCCCAGAACACACAACAAAAATAAAGAACAAATTCTACTTTTTTACAGCATATATTCACTTAAGATTCATAATCAGTCATTTGATAATATGTTTTACACCAAAATAGAGAAGCACTATTTCCATAAATTATTTAAGAAAATATCATTAGAATTAAGATTTCATACATATTAATTTTCGAAGTAGTGGGATTAAACTATGAATGAATTTCAACTGCATTCATTATTCTTACCTCCACCTCCTCTTTTTCTTCTTCTTCGCCCCACTCCACCTCTTCCTTAATGTCCTCCTGGAGAAAGATTGTAACTGGGGGCTCAAGCTCCTGCAAAAGTAAGATCATAAAACTTGAGAGCATACAACATGAATAATGAATTAAAAATACCCAATATTATGCATAAGCGTATACACCTGCAATCATGAACTTTAGTAAAAAAAAAAATCAATAATTTCATATAAAAGAAAAGTTTCATAACATCTTCAAAAAAACTAAATTTGAAATATATTAATAGTTATTTTTACACCAAGGACATTGTAAGGGTCCTAACGATCAAGCCGTGACAAAAAGCCTGAGGGACAAAGAGTTTTTTATACCCCATGATCATTTGGTCCAATTAATGCCTGTGGCCCATACATGACTATTTTTTATCTAATTTTATTGCTTCCATTTACTTATTTAATTAATTAGATGTTAACTTGACTCAAATTGTCTTTTCAAAATTCCCTCCATAAGAGAACAAGTAGCATCATGCAACTGTTTTCATTATTCCCCTGCAATCACAATCCTCGAGAACCAGGTAAGTAATGCAGTATATATTGAGCTCCGTAAGAGAAGCCAACTGACTCATGGTTCATAACATATTAAATATAAATTGAAGAGCACTGGCACTAATCGTTTTATATGTAAAAACTATTGTTGTATATTAAAACTATCATTTTATATGTTAAAGCTATTGGTACATACACCTACCGCCTTCTAAGATTATTTCAAAAAAGCAGAAAAATTTCAAGGAATGACAATGAACTTTGATTCTTATTTAACTTATAGGGGCTTGGTACATTCATAATTAGTCTGATAGAAACACAATTTTTAAAGAAATGGTACTTACGTCCTTTTTTAATTTCAAGTTTTGAATTATTCGGTTACTTTTATTTACTTTAATGCCAGTGATGAAGTGAGTTCTGAAGATTTACAAAGTAGATCAGCAATAAGGCAATCATTGCAACAGCTTACCTCATCATCATCTTCTTTCAATTCAGTCTTTACGGAGTCCTCGAGGTGCTGGAAATCAAAATGTAGTATTTAACAATTCCTGCATAAAGACTCTAATGGTAACCCAAAGAAGTGAAAATCTTTATTTATTGTATAATTTATATGTACCTTAAGTTTATAGACAATCAATTATGAGTCCATATCAATTTAGCATATCGGCCATTCTATATAAAAGAAGAAAATGTGTTAAAAATTAAATTTGGATATAAGCTTAAATTTGAGGTATACATCCTCTCTAAAATTCAAATCATATGATTTCTAAAAAAAATGTGTCAAATTGCAGTTTTCAAGTACTTTTTCAATTATTGAAATCCAGTATTTTAGGCAATAAATTTTTAGTCTCAAATTAATTTAATGTTGGTACATTGTTATAGTGGCCATTCAACTGTTTTCTGCTTCAAAACAGGGCTGAGATGGTAGATTCATACATTGGTTTCGATTTTCTTTAATGTCAAGAAATTTGGTAAGTAGCTAATATTTTTTTTATTAAATTTTTAGAGTAATGACTTTCAGTGTAACATCCAAAACAAAAATTGTTGAAAAGCTTTTTCTTACCCAGTGCAAGAGTGCACTTGTTTTATAATGTTCCTTAAGTTGACATTCTGGTGACAAGGTTTCTATAAATATGATTTAATATTTATTTTGAATAAAAATAAGTCTTAGAGTGTTACGGATGTTACACACATTTTATTCATTTTTTTGAAACTATACAATTAGAGTTATTTTGATAAAATTCAATTGTTTTTAGGTTATATTGTATAATTATTTCATAGTCTCTTAATCTGTATCAATTATATTTAATTATTAGAGAAGTTAATTATTCACATTATACTAATAATTACTCATTTTTCCTAAAGAATAAATCATTTTTAGTGTGTATCTGATATCATATAATTTTATTCAGTCATCCTTTTCTAATTCATATTATTTGCCACTGAGAAAAGAAATGGAAATTACATCATTCATATTTGTTTAGGGTAATGGCACCTACATCTATGTACGAAGGAAGCACTATGTAAAGGAAGGAAGAACTTAGCCCATGAAAGAAGAAAGCAGTTCATCAGCTTGTGAAAGAAGCATTCAGTGGTAGTGTTGACTTCTTTCATAACTTGTTAAAAAAAGAAGTTCAAATGCAAAACCACTACTGTGCTACAGTACTGAAAGTGATCCTTGCATGATAAATAAATGCAAAATGTGATATTACAACATTAAATTGCCAAAATGTGATGTTGAGAGTACGTTCTTTTTTAAACAAGACATGGGAATCTGTGAAAGAAATACCTGGGAGTTGGAACCTCCATAATTTTGATAGATTTGATAAAAAATTTTTTTTGGCAAGCTTTACTAATAATTCAGAACAAAAGAAAACACAAGTTGTTTTTCCTAAGAAAACAATATAAAATTATAGTAATTATAATTATTAAAATTTAATGCTATTAAGAGAAATTTATGTAATAAGTTGCTTTGGATTGTCATGTGAAACATCCGCAACAAATGGAATGTCTGATATATAAATTAAAAATTATTTTAAACAGTGGAATGGTATCTACAAAGTACAATGTTCAAAATGTGTTCACTTCAACAGGTTCATTATAACATGTTGGTTAAAAAGACATTCACAAATAACAAAATGAAGTATATATATGAACACACGTAAATTCAAAGAATAGTACTCACCTCACCTCAAAATTTAAAATCCAAAACCATTTTACCATGTAACAGTAAGGTTGATTCAAAGCCATATATAGTAATGGCTGACCTCAAAAGTTCTGCAGCAGAATGAGGGTAACATCTGTTGGAAACTGGTCGCTGAAGTGAGGCATTGTGGATTTAGGCAGGAGGGGAAAGATACAGACACAACCCAATTTGACACTGAACCAACCTTACAATTATATCTTGTTATAATATTTCGAATTTTAAATTATGAGGTGTGTTTTTCTCCATTCTGTGCTTTGAATATACTTGAGTACATTAATTTATATCTTTTCTTTTGTTATTAGTAAATTTCTTTCTCAGATACAGATCTCATTAATATGTACCTAATGAAGTAACCACATTTCAAATGTACTTTGTTGATAAATTCAACTGTTTGAAACTATTTTTAATGGACATATCCAGAATCTATCTGCACTCAAACTCAAAATCAATTGTTTGTACATTTCAAATACTTACATATTAGAAAATTTCACAGCATAAAATCATTAAAATAAAATCAGTCATTGAGTTAAAAGATATGCAGCTGAAGAATCAAATCATCAGGTTTTTCACAAAATTTAATCTAACAAGAAAATTATCTGTCACACTTGGTGAGAACTTATTTTTATAATCTTTTTATCAAGAATTTCCGAATATTTTGCTCATAAGTGATATACAAATGAAGATGTAAATTGTCTTTCTAATCTGTTAAAAATATTGCTAAAAATGCAGTTGCCTCTCCAAGTTAAAAGCAATTCTCTCTTCCATCAACATAAGAAAAAATTATGGTGTACAACAACACAAAGTACAGGACAGTAACATCAATAATAGTGGCCAATTCATGGGCAAATTTGAAAAATAATAATTGAAATTTACGCACTATTCAAACTTGCAAAATAAGTGGGTTAGTGGTGATGATTTAAACAAATATAATTTATTTTTTCACATAAGCTGAAAAAATCTCATTAATATTCACAATGCGATACTATAATATGAATCTGCATTACTTTGGACGTTTTTAGCCTCAAACATGATCAGGAGGTGGAATATTAATTGGTGATTTCTGCAACCAGAACACAGCCACTATTAATATTTTGTAATTTTCAAGGAGCCAATACGAGAACAAAATCAAAGTATGGAAATAAATTAATAAAAAATAGAACACATTAACAGTTGGCCTCTTTTAGGCAAGAGATGCATTCAAAAAGAGGTATGACCCATTGAATTTAATACAGAAGCCCAAGAATAGACAAAACTACATAAATATTCTTAATGGTGTCTACTTCTTGGTTTAGTTGAAGAAAAAAGTTTGACAGAATTACACATCTTTTACTGAAGAATAACAAATGGCAGAAAAAGAACTAAAATAAGAACACTCTAGAAAAGAAAGTGGTAAGAAAACTATGCCGATTTAAGACTGGCCCTTAATTAATTTCAAGCAAGCAAATTGATAGTAAATACAATGGTAGAACCCTATTTTATTCAGGAACATCAATATTTATGAAGTACAGAGTCTAGCCGTTATGGATTGCATATCTAAATCAACACAACAATGTCTATGGCAATATCATGCCAACAGCTTAACTTGAGATTCTGTATTTCACATCTATTCGTGTACCTAAAGAAGCAACCTGTAGTAAAATGTAGTGGTATAAAATGACTATAATATGTGAGAGGTTTAACAAATTTTACAAGTTTTCATTAGAAGTTGAATAATGTCACTGGTGAATCAGTGAAATAACTAACAATCAGACAGCCTGAAATAAAATATGGAAATTTTCAGTCAAAAGTTGAAAATTCTATTTCAAATATACATGTTTCGATCTCTTTTGCTAGATCTTCTTCAATATCTGTAACTAATTTGAGGTTATGTCATCCATATTGAATATTTAGTGATAGTAAAAAAGATTGACCTTCCAGAAACCAGGACATGTGCTTCGTCGCAATTTATTTCCAGTCCAGGACCTTGGGCATGCTTAGTCTGAACTTGAAATGAATTGCAACAAAGCAAATCTACTGTTACAAAATACTGCTTTCCGAATTTTCAATCTTTATACAAGCACTAAATATTCCACAAGGGTGACATAACCGCAAATTAGTAACATACTTAACAGGATCTTGAAAAAGAAATTTAAACACCTGTCATTTAAATACAATTTTTCACTTATGACTGGAATCATCAACTCTTATTTAAAATTATATATTCAGAAATCAAGTTAAAAATATCCAAACTTACTGTTGAATTCCAAACAGGCTCTGTAACAGAGTCCTCCGGTTCTTGCTTAATCTATAAGAAAGGAAAAATGAAATTCATAAACTGTGATATCACCTGGAATGAACACTTACTTGTGAGATTACCATTTCAAATTTCTACAATCACTTCGCACAAAATCTTACCTGATTTTAATGCATAATTCTTTCTCATTAAAGAACAACCATTTTACTAATAGTAAATAAATTTTAATAAATGCACAGCATTATCCTTCAACTTCAAATTTGAATGTTGACTCAAATTTTGAATTAACCTGCATTAAATAAGTTATATACTTCAACAAACATTTTGTATTCCCTGAAGGGACAATTTCGTACCAACATTTATACTCTAAAAACTTTGTTTTCATTACAAAAATGTACTCTTTTAGCATGCATTAAATATATGAAATTAAATCAAGAGATTGAATAACAAAACTTACTTCTTCTAATTTAATAACACTTTCTGCTAACAATTCGATATGATCCATTGTTAATGCACATTAGTTTCACTCATTTTCCCGAACAGATCACTGAAGTAAACATTTCAACAACAAAATGTATTTAGTATGAATCATTGTGAAATGACACTTCTTATGATTGACTATTTTTTAAAATAATTTTCCTATGAACAGAAATGTAAAAACGGTGACTTAACAAAAGGTAATTACACACAACACAGCTATATACATTAGTAGTTAAAGGTAACTGATGTTTGTGAATTGTAACAATGTGTTGAGCAATGTTAAATTTCTTGAAGTTCGTATTCTGGTCTATTAGTTTTATCCCTGATGTCTATCACACGTGTGGCATTATGTACAGAGGGTATACAATCATATATATGTCATCGTCCGTTTTGATTATGTAAATGAGCGTGATTTATAACTTGATTATAATCTTGGCCACAGGTATTATATTAATACCAAGGTTTGACAGGTACGTATTATGCGTATTATATCCGCACGTTTTCTTGAGCCCTGAATCCGTTTGTTGCAGGAAGAGTGGGGGAATTAGTTACGATCGTGGCCACCAGAGTTAAAGTACTACCAACCTGCCGTCGCTTAGATCGTATTGAACATCCAATGAGCACATATTCTGCTCTCTTTGAATCGATATGCAGCTGCTCTCACGTAAACATCGTATGAATTTATGTTTAGTATTCACTATATGTATGTTTAGTATTCTATTAGGGCTGTTTACACGCTTCCATGCTCCTTTGTGTTCGTATTTATGTCATTTCAATAAACATCATAGCTAGAAACAATACAAGTTAAATTAACATATGTTCACACTAATATGCAATAATAATAATAATAATAATAATAATAATAATAATAATAATAATAATATCTTCAAGAATATATGGCCATTTAGTCGACCAGCACATTTTGGCTACTGAACAGAATGGCTGTCGCAAGGGAAATATGGGATGCAAAGAATTATTAGTAATTGACAATGTAATTACGCAGCAAGTATCATTCGCGCACGTTTTCTTGAGCCCTCGCTTCGTTACTTGCAAAAGGAGTGGGAAGTAAAAATTTTGACGAAAGGAATTTTGTATCAAATTTATAGTTCGTTTTTCGATACAAAATATTTTCTATTACACGGTAGCGAACATTTCCGGTTATCATATTTTGTCTACAACGCTCGTTGCTATCATTTATTCTTCATTCAACTAAAGTGGGCAAAGGAGTGGGAGTAAGGATCCCGGAGCTCAAGAAAAACGTGCGCGTATAATACGAAAGCACCAGCGCAATCTTTCTGTAGGCTGGATAGATTACAAAAAAGTATTTGATTCGGTACCTCACTCATTACTTCTAAGAGACCTCAACTTGTATAAAATTGATCGAAGACTGATCGTTTTCTTGAAGAACTGCATGTCAGAATGGAAAATTAATTTGCAGAATAAGAACGGAACCTGCTGTTACGTGATGGAAGATATTGCAATTCGTCGTGGAATCTTTCAAGGGGACAGCGTAAGTCCGTTATGGACGCTCGGACAATCAGGATATGGGTACTTAGGAAAGAAAACCCCTGATGTTCGTATCTCGCATCAGCTCTACATAGATGATCTCAAACTATACGCTTCTAATAGAGATCACTTACAAAACGAGATCGAACTTGTCAAGAGTGTCAGCGATGCAGCTTGTAAGGAGTTTGGGATTGACAAATGTGCAAGTATCTGGTGATCAAGTTATTAAAAATCTGAAGACTCCTACAAATATATCTGGGAGTGCTGCAGTTGTTAGAATTTTCGATTCAGACGTTAGGAACAAGATTGTTCAGAAGGTGCTGTCGAGAGTAAATAGTCTGCAAAATACGGATAAATTCAAGAACCAAAATATATGTTATTAATACTTTGGCGATTCCCATAGCAACTTACACATTTGGTGTAATAAAATGGAGGGAAACATCCTTACAGACGTTTGGCAGGAAAATAAGAACTACGCTTACTACGCATCGACTTCACCCTCACCCTCATACTTCAATGCACAAGCTGTACGTACCTGGAGATAATGCAGGAAGAGGGCTCCTTAACTTGGAGGCACTATGCCGACAGCAAGAAGAAAGAACCACGTCTGTACTTTCTGTCTATCTCGGCTGTTCACAAAGCTGTGATCAAGATAAAAATATGACCCCATTATGACTGGCACAACTAAGCAAAGATTTTGATTACCTGACGCATCAAGACCACGTGAATATCTGGTAAAAAAAAGGAACTTCATGGTAGATTTTTTTTGCAAATTTAACTTCCAAGAACATTGATAAGAAAAGCTCAAAGTAGCTTCTAACCGGGGGCCACTTCGGTAAAACTGAAGGATTTCTTCTCTCCATTCAAGACCAAGTTGTCGAAACCAGAGCATATAAAATTTTCATTATGGGTCAGCACATTGATAGCCAACGTTACCTTTGTAAATCCACCAACGAGGCAATTCAGCATATTTGCTGTAGGTGTCCCACATTATCTCAAACAGAATACCTTAACAGAGACAACTGCGTCGTCAAAGTAATCCACCAAGCCCTTTCCAAGAGGTTCGACCTTGTAGAGAGAGCAATCTTATAAGTGCAAACCAGAGCAAGCAATCAGCAACGATCGGGCTCGAATCCTGTGGAATAGTATAATCAACACTGATCGAACAGTGGAAGCAAATAGACCAGATATCGTTGTTTGATAAAATATCTGAAACATCATGCATCATTGATGTTGCGGTTCCTACAGATGACAGGTTTGCAACAATTGTTGCTGAGAAAAAGGGGGAATCCCAACACCTGGCTGTTGAATTGAAGGACATATAAGATTGCGCACAGTAGAAGTGCTTCCAAAGGTGGTGTCAGCAAATGGTTTGATCACCGATGAACAGCAAGAGACCGCAATGAAATTAAAACTAACCGAGAAGCATTTGCGGACCATTCAGAAAGCAGCATTATTGGGAACAGCAAATAGAGTCCGTAAATTCTTGCGCTTGAACTGACGGATATCAAAAACCCATTATATGTATTGTTCCACTTTACGTGCAAACCATTGTTGCCTTGGGTGAACTAAACCCCGGCATCAGTATATATCCACAGGAAATAATAATAATAATAATAATGACAAGTCAATTTTAAGAACTTCCCTCAATTCTCGAAACCTAACGGTTATCATCAAATATACGCTCTTCCATTTTCGATGGGCATTCTCAAACGATTCTCAACAAAGGAATTGGGAAGGCAGGTGCGAGTCCAAATGACCCAAGAAGCGCTTTTCAGAGGATGAGACTGCCGAGACGAATGGGAGGGCGAGGTATCGTAAAGTTGACAAACCACCACGATGATAACAGACATACCAAAGTATTTTGCAGGGAAAGCTCTCGAATACTTCTCAACTCCACAAGGTGGTCGTACAGACAGATGACAACTATACTCCCCTAAATCTAAAACAAAATATGTCAATCCAACAGTCATCTTTTCAACAAGAAATGGAATCCTGGAAACAGAAAGCCCTCCACAGGTGCATATCCTACTGCAGTTAACAATCCAAATGTCGACGGGGAAATGTCCTACAAATGGCTCAGCATAGAATTATTTGTACCCCGAGAGAGAAGGCTTTATGGTTTTCCCTACGAAGAACTACCCTACATACATAATTAAAGACCCAGAATTGCATAGGAACGAGTGCCGTATGTGTGGGCGAGATCATGAAACCGTCCAGCATATCTCGAGTGGCAGCGCACTAGCCCCAACAGACTACAAGAGAGTCACGATATAGTGGGCCGGATATTCCATCACGAGCTCGCTAAGAAATAGACTCCTGCGGGACACTGATACACCGCCTGGCAAATTGTTCTAGGTACACAAACACACTAATAATCGTCACGAATTTCATTATAACCTACACAAAATATATATTGATGTGATCAACAATTCCACAGAATAAAATTAGCACAAAAACAAAAAAAATCGAGTTTTTGAATCAAAAACTCTGACAGGTTTCCTTAACTAGGGCTGCCAGCTGCCCATCAGCCCATGCGCGATCACGCCGCGCCTGCCAAATTAAACCATGGTGGCAGGCATTGTCTGGTCGTTGTGTCCGGTGACGAGCATTCGCTGACAGTGGTGTACTGTGTCGTGTTCATCTCCTCCACTACGCAGCCAGACTCCAACCCCGGCAACACAGGAACGAGTGCAGCGCCTCCATATAATAGACACAGGGGTGGCGAGCTAAGCAAGTCCGTTGGGTTCAAGTTCACCCTAAGCATTGCACTCTCTGTTGTGGTTCGATCGTGAATTTGTACATTTCCAATGGGTGTATTTATTTACGTCAAAAACAGTTAAAAACTGTGCGTGACGTGCTATGGGGAGAAGTTAATTTGAAGTTACATTTATGTCCAGAAGCAAAACAAAGGACCATCTCACAATTTGCTCGAGGATCAGGGAAACTGGACGAAAACCTAATCGAGATGGGGGTCATTGACTTGGAGGATGAAGTACAATACTTGTTACTGGTTCTTTACAACTATTCTCATTAATTGAACGAAATAAGTTCAATAGAAATTTAAAGATTTAAGAAATTAATGAGAAAATTTTATACTGCAATTGCTAGTGCTTATAAATGTGAACCTTGATTATTAAAATGTTTTTCATATTATTGTGACTATTTATGTATTTAATTTGATTTAAAAAATTAAAGAAATACAAAAATAATATTACAAGTGATACAATAACATTCATTAATCCCATATAAAATTTCAATTGTGTAAGATGAGTCACATGTGATGAGTGCAGGGGGAGATGCACATGCTTTCTTCAGATGCATATGTTTATCTACTCATTATTTCAAATAAAAGTAAAACACATTTTAAAATTTGATAATCCTTTATTCCTATGTAAAAGAACTGCATGAACAGTTCTATCTATTTGTCAACAAGTTAAAAATTGTGTGCTACAGGGAAAAATTATTTTGAAGTTACATTTATAACCAGAAGCAAAACAAGGGACCAGCTCAACATTTGCTCAAAGATCAGGGAAACTGGGCAAAAACCTGAAGATGGGGTATACGTAAAACACCAAACGCTCTGTCGCAACTTTATCGTTTGTCGTCGCCACCGCCGGTTGAAGCTCACGCAGGACACGATATTCATCGCTCGGAAATGTGCATTGCTAAAATACTTCTTTTGGCGAAGCTCTTCCGGCACACACGAAGCATTCGTGAGGGCATTCTAGCTGTGGATTTGCATGGACCTTACTAAATTAATTCTCTGGACGAAATTCTTTGGCACACGGAACATTCGTAAGGGCGTTGTCGCTGTGAATTTGCATGTGCCTAACTAAATTAATTCCCTGGGCGAAATTCTTTGGCACGCGGATTATTCGTGAGAGCGTTTTCGGCTGTGAATCCGAATGTGCCTTATTAAAGTACTTCTCCGGACGAAATGTTTTTGACATACGGAGCATTCGAAAGGCCGTTCCCCGCGGTGATTCCGTATGTGGTTTAGTAAAGTACTCTTCCGCGCGAATTTCTTCTGGCACTCGGAACATTCGTGGGGGCGTTCTCCGCTGTGGATCCGCATGTGCGATACTAAATTACTTCTCTGAGCAAAGCTCTGCTGGCACAAGGAGCATTCGTGGGGGCGTTCCCCGGTGTGGATCCGCATGTGCTCTATTAAAGTACCTCTCTGGGTGAAGCCCCGGTGACACACGGAGCATTCGTGAGGGCGTTCGCCGCTATGAATCCGCATGTGCGTTATTAAATTATGCTTCAAGGTGAAGTTCTTTCGGCATTCTGAGCATTGGTAAAGATGTTCTCCGCTGTGGATCCGCATGTGCTCAACTAAACTACTTACATCGGTGAATGTCTGACGGCACACGGAGCATTCATGAGGAAGCTCACGGCTGTGAATCCGTGTGTGCCTCACTAAATGATCTTTCAGAATAAAACTCTTTTGGCACGTGGAGCACTCGTACGGACGCTTTCCGCTGTGAAATTGCACGTGCCTCACTAAACGAAATCTCTGGGCGAATTTCTTCTGGCATACGGAGCATTCGTGAGGGCGTTCTCCGCTGTGAATCCGCATGTGTCGTACTAAATGACTTCTGGTGGAGAAGTTCTTCTGGCACTCAGGGCATTCGTGACGCCGTTCTCCGCCTCCTTCTACAGTTGCTCGAGCTTCATTTGGCCACGATAAATACGAGGCATTCGTTTCCACGTTTTTATTAAGCTCAGCACTGTCGGTTGGTTCCACTACCGTGTTTGTAATAGTTACATCATTTCCTCCATTGAACACGTCACACTCGTTACCACATCGTTCCAATCCAGTTTTGGAGTGGCTGAAAGTGGCCTCTTGGTAATCTGCACCTGCCAGAAGAAATAATTCATTAGCAACACTCTGAAGTAATCGGAAATGATGAATGATGAAGGGGAATGACCAAAAGTGTCCCCTAAAATATGCCTTAGCGTCGCATTTGAAAAGTTAGATTATGGCTCAACTAAAATATACAGAAACATGTTAATGTACTTTATCACGTAAAAACAATACTTTTTACAACACAGTGGAGAAATGTTTGGCCAGTTTCTAAAAAGAACATTTGTAACCATTGCTCTACAATGAAGATTAGAAAATCTACTACTTAAAAGCAGAAACATCTTCAAGTATGGAAAATGAAGATAACTAGGAGAATATTGGTGTACACCATTGTTATTTTTAAGGCATTAATGTGCAATATTTTGTTTTGATTACGGATGTTTTATACTGAAACATATGGTGGTCAATGAAGCAAAAAATTCTCTTACAAGTGGAAGATGAAACTGTTTTGGGAATCCCTGGGCTAAATCAACTTCGACAAAGTTGCAAACACAAGACCCAATGGCTGTTCACAAATTTCTAAAAGTCATAACGATACAGAGGAAGAGATTGATGATGGTCTACTGGTAGAAGCGGCCCAAAAAGAAAAGAATATTCCAAAAGTGAAAATGATGTGCAACAATGTCTAGACGTCAACACAGCCAAAGATGTGCATAACGAAAGTCAAAGACAAGAGTAATTCTGAACATGACCATTCGTAATTATTAAGTACAAGAGTAACAACTACTTTAGTGTGATAATAGTCTTTAAGTGAAATAGCCATATGCATGATCAGTTGTCACGTTTAGTTATTTGATAAACATACTTTAATGTATATTTTGTAAGTTGCAAAATATACTTGGTGTTCACCAGTTATTCGGCTACATGGTGTGCAACTCGCATTACGCATTATTTTGGCCAGGAATGGAATAGTATGGAGAGAAAACCAGATTTTTTTCTAGAACCACAAAATAAAGTTCACACAAAATTCCAAAAGGAACGCTAAACAAAAGTCTATTATAATGTTATATTCCACTACCTCTCTGAACGCCTGTTCAGACAGTAATCTGACTATTCATTTATATATCTGTTGATGCTGATTCAATGATGCATTTTTTGATTTATTGATTCACTCATTCATAATGACAGCAGCAAGATACTATTGTACATTTATGTTACATTATAAGACATTTTAGACTCCATCTCATTAGATATTTAAATTATGAGTTATTTTCTGTTGTATATTTTACATACATCTCAAATACAATCACAGTCTAAGTAAAAACAAACAATATTGCGGATACAATTTTAAGTAATAATATCATTAATTTGTATGTATTTATCGAGGTAATGATCCAATGAGTTAACAGTTTTTGCTTCAATACAATTTGCTGGAAGAGCATTTCGTGTGCTGACAACATGTTTAGTGTTTGAAAGTTTGTTTTTGTTTTGTTTTTTCTCTCTCAGTAAAAGCACCGCTGAGAAATTTTCATTCATTTGAAAACACCTATTTTCTAAAACTGGCCACAGGAACTACACTATTGCAGCATCCGAAAATTATACAAGAAATTGTTAGAAGTAGTCGCAAATATTCAAGAGTCAGAAATGTTATATTTCATCAGGAAAAAGGAGAGTAATGAGACAAGTCGCAGACCACTGGTACCAGCGACTCTGGCCCCAAAACCTTCCACTTGTCGCCGCGCGCGACTCTGGGCACACCTGGGGAGAGAGGTATCGCCCACCTGTGTGCCTGCCGCTACAGAAAGCAAAATCCGGGGATTCGCGCGGCACAGGAGGCCGGTGGCGAAAGAGGGGATTCCCCAATGCATGGAGCAAGAAGTCGAAATTACAGGGGCTCACCGACCACGTGACGGAAATCGACCGATTACATATAACATGATGCAACGTGGTTACGTAGGCTTCCGCGGCCGAAGCAGGGCCCGGCAACTCTCCATCAAAATTGGGGACAAAGCTAGAGGTTGCTACTATAGGATGCGCTAGTGTCGCCGGATAAAGCTGCTGGTAAGAATCGCCAACTTTCGCACATAAAAATTGTTCAAGAAATACGAATATACTTTATGAGCGATTTCTGAAATAAATGACAAAAGAGGTTAAATACTATGTGTTTCTCTTCTCAAATTCATTTACTCATTATAATACACGCATGAAAGAAAGGGTAGCGCGAACAGCGGCGCGATCTTTTGTCTCAAGCGCGTGTGTTCGCGTTCCGAGAACCTACGCACGTTGAAATAACGTTGGTAGCAGTTCGTACTTTAGTTCGTGTAAGAAGGTAATTCTCTAGAGCGCGCCACTGTAATGGTCCCACCCCGTTATAAGTCAGTGACGCGGCTCGTCCCGGTTAGCCTAAACAACATGATGCAACGTGACCCACTCAGAAAAGAGCGGACGGAGACGCAGGGGCGCGATGGGGCCGTGTTAACGGAACATTGTTTCGCCGTCGGCCAAGTAGTTTCAAATCATTTGCATGTGTAGGGTTGTAACATACGGCTCTTTACCACTGAGTTAGAACATTAAATGCATGCTGAAAATTGCCACTAGTGTTGAGTATCGAAGAGCGGAATAGCAGCTGGTTATGATGTCGAGCGATATGTTATAATGTCGAACTGAACAAAGGATCCATGCAACACTGGATGCAAGAACAGTTAAAAACAGCCATTCCAAAGTACTAGCAATAATGGGTTTTGTCAATGCAAGGAGATCAGGAAGACCGTCAACTTTGAGGAAAAAAGGGAATGTTAGCAGTCTGTGAAATGTTCTTGAGGAGTCCTAAGAAATCACTGTATGGGCTGTAATTTGATACTTGAATAACCCATAGCTTCACTTGAAGCAGGACAGAGAACCGGTACATTTTGCAAATGACGTACATGAATGGCTGCATGATCATTTCCTAGATTGTGCTATTGGCAGACGTGGTGCAAATTAATGGCCTGCCCGCAGCACTGATTTAACACCTGGCGCTTTTTTTGTCTGGGGGTGGGGTATGGAAAGAATTTATAACAGAAAACCAAAGAACTTGGATGAATTTAAAGCAACAATATCTTATGTTCCATAAACCATGCTGTGGGCAGCATCATCAAACGTACCAGTTCATTTAAATAAATGCAATAAAAATGCTGGAGCTCATATAGAGATTTAAACACATGTTAAACTAAACCTCAAGAATAACTGTTTCTACCAAAAGTAGTTTTTAACATACATACCCAAGGACTCTGAGTTTCTATCCTTCCTTTCCAAGCCAACATCAAAATCCTCCCCACATAAGTTCTCCTGAAACATAGAAAATCTTTATACTTTAGTTTATATCTACGCACATTACCCAAATCCTTACTTTCTCCTTTTTTGGCGAATTTATGAACTATGGAGTAGATTTTGCCAAAATCACACAACAAAAATCGAGAACATATAGACAAATTATTCTCTTTTACACTATGTGACAAAAGGTCATTCCGAATTATACAAAATGTGACATTAAGGTCATTCCTTTTATAAACAATGTACAGCTTTCTAGTTAAACCAAATATAGTAGTGTGTAATAAATGTGCATTTATAGTTCTGCAAATTATAATTATTCATTGCACACCAGTCCAGAAACAAATTATAACTTGAAAACTGAAGACACAACAAGGAAAACATTACAGTGTTGTAAGGAGGAAGACTTGTTGCATATAGTGATGGAAAACTGAAAAAGCACCTTTACAACATTTTCAGCCATTTCTAGTGAATCACACACCACAAGCCAATTGACTCATGGTTCATGACATTAAATATACATTCAAGAGCACTGGCACTAATCGTTTTATATGTTAAAACGATTGTTGTTTATTGAAACTATCGTTTTATATGTTAAAGCTATTGGCACATAAACCCGCCTTCTACAACTGCTTAATAAAACTAGAAAAATTTTAAGAAATAGGACTGAACTGATTCTTATTTAATTTATAGGGGCTTGGCAAGTTCATCATTAGTCTGATAGAAAAAATATTTTTTACAGAAATTGCACTTACATTCTTTAATTTCAAGTTTTGAATTATTTAATTTCTCATTTCCCTTAATGCCAATGAGGAAGTGAGTTCTAAAGAATTAGAAACTAGATCAGCAATAAGGCAATCATTGCAACAGCTTACCTCATCATCTTCTTCTTTCACTTCAGTCTTTAAGGAATCCTCAATGAGCTTCTGAAAATGACAAAGTATTTAACAATTCCTGCATCAAGTCACTAACCCAATGGAGAGAAAAACTTAATTCATTGCATATTTTTTAGGTATCTTAAGCTTATAGACAAAAAATTATGAGTCCATATCAATATAGATATGTCAATTAAAAATAATTATAAACAGTTGATCAGCATCAACAAAGTACAATTCAAGTCCACATCCATCATATCCACCCACATACAATACACGTTGCTTAACAACGCATTGCCAGATGACATTAAACAATTGAAGTCGATTCACGAATTAAAGTTAAATCTTTTCTGTTACATAAGGCTTTCTATACTATTAGAGACCACACAGGAATGCACCTCGTAAATATTGTTTAAAGCAAGCACCATTAAAATGATGTGTTGAACATATATTATTTCTTTTTTTGCCCTTTAGCAGAAACCAAGGTCATTAATATTCACAATGCAATACTGTAATACTCCAATACATTCGATGTTTTCAGTTTCAAACCTTCTCAGGAGGTGGAATACATGAATGAATTGTACTGATCGATGAATCAAGTACGTAGCCACTACTATTTTGCAATTTTCAAGGAGCCACTTCTAGAGCAAAATCGAAGTATGGAAACAAATGATAAAAAATAGAACACATTAACAGTTAGCTACTATTGGGCAAGAGATCCAATCAGAAAAAAGTATGCTTTACACACATTGAATTCAGCATAGTAGCACAAGAACATTGACAAAACGTCAAAAATTTCTTCCTGGTGTTTTTACTCTATTTCTTGGGTTAGAGAAAGAAAAAAACTATTTAACAAATTTAAATTTTTTATTTAAGTATAATAAAATAGCAGAAAGAGAACTAACTTTAGTAATAAAGAATTCGGAAAGAAACAGATAAGAAAACTCTTTGTGTGTATTTGACACTGGTTCTCATTTAATTTCAGGCAACCAAGTTGTTAGTAAATAGAATGGTACAACCCCCTTTGGTTCCTTCTTCACAAACATCAATATTCATGAAGTACAGAATCTCAATAAAACTGAATGTCAATAAAGGATTGGCAAACTTAGCAATTATGCGCTAATGCCTCGCATAAGTCAAAAATTCTATTTCAACAGAAGTTTCAAACTCTTATCTCTGATCCTCTTCAGTATCTGTTACAAGTTTGAGATTGGGTCATTGATATTAAATGTTTAGGGCTAGTAAAAAGATTGACATTTCAGAAACTGGTGCACGCCCATGGTCGCAATTCATTTCCAGTTTGGGACCTTGTGTACATCCAAGATTCAGACTTGAAATGAATTGCAACAAAGTGACTCAAATTACATTAAATATTGTTTTTTGAATTTTCTATCTTAACATTAGCACTAAATATTCAATATAGGTGACAACCTCAAATTAGAAACAGATTGTGAAGAGGGCAGGGCCTAGCAAAAGAGACTGAAATGTCTGTCATTGCAATAGTATTTTCGACTTACAACTGAAATAGACTGTTATTGAAAATTATACATACAGAAATCAAATTAAAATTATCCAAACTCACAGTGGAATTCCAAACAGGCTCTACAATAGAGTCTTCTGGTTCTTGCTTAATCTGCAAAAATAAAAAATTAAATTCATAAACAGTATTATCACTTGAAAAGAACACTTACTTGCGAGATTACAATTTCAAATTCTTACAATCAATTTGCATAAAGTTTTACTCTGGTTTAAATACACAATTCTTGTTTGTTAAAGTACAACCATTGATCCACTAATGAAAGCACAATAATATTCTGTAACCTCAAATTTGAATGTTAACCTCAATATTGAATTAACCTGCATGAAATAAGTTATATACCCCCAATAAACACTTTGTACTTCCTGAATTAACTATTTTGTACAAATAATTATACTCTAAAAACTTTATCTTTCTAACAAAAAATATAATTTCACTCTTTTAGAATGCATTAAATATATGGAATTAAATCAATTTGGTTGAATCAGAGAGTAACAAAACTTACTTCTTCTAATTTAATAACACTTTCTGCTAACAATTCGATATGATCCATTATTAATGCACATAAATTGCTTACAGATAACTCATCACTTCAGCAGATACCTCAGCAACAAAACGAAATTGGTATGTATCGTTGTGTAATGACATTTCTCATGGTGGACTAATTTTCTATACATTAATTTTTCTATGCACTGAGATGCCAAAACGGTGTCTTAAATAAAAGCGTATTACTCAATATACAGTGATAAACGTTAGTATATTAAGCTCACTGCTGTTGGTGGGTTGTAACAGATAGGTGTTGATAAATGTTGGGTTGCTGAAAGTCCGTGGTCCGTACTCTGGTCTATAAGTTTCATCCCTTACGACAGAATCACATGTCTCTCATCATGTTCAGAGAGTATGTATATGTTAAGGCCCACTACTCTGTGGTGAAAGGTGAGCACTAGATCGTACCAAATTGAACATTGCGCTCAGTTGATCCAGGGTTTATATTACGATCTATGCTGGTCTGCCCCAGGCAGGTATCAGCTGTTGATTGTTTCATTCAATCGAGACATTTGTTGACAGTTTCCCAAGTTTGTGCTGGCGCGGTTCACTTGAAATTGGTCGAGTGAACGAGAATAATTTTGCTGGCATTGATAAATTTCTTAGGACAAAGTATAAATATATACAATACCATATACGTAAAGCTATATATTTTGCTATTACGAAACATTTCTTCTTCATCGCGATACATTTAAAATATCAATTCACATTTAAAATAACATTTCATCTCTCTCTTTTTCTTTTTTCAAAAAACAATTGTCAAAAGATGAATTAGCTTGCTGCTTGAACTGAAATATAAATACTAACATGGGTTAATAATTAAACAGCCTTCTATTATAACATTTAGTAGCTACTATAACAAAAAAATATCTCTTTTAAAATTCAATGAAATATTACGTATAAGTTTCTCAAGAATTTTTTGGCGCGGTTTTTTTTTTTTTTTTATAGTTTTCAAGTCTTCTAATAGGTTTGTGTGTTTACTGAGATGGAAGGTAAGAACGCAAGGTTTATTTATGATTTGCGCCAAGAGGGAACTTTGAATTTGATCCAGAGGTGTATGAAAGTGGGTTTGCTTGCGTCTCGACGTGTATGTAATGTCTTAAAAGTAGAAAGCATTTTAAATTTTGATAATCATCACTCCTATGGAATAGAACTTGCATGGACAGTTCTACAAAAAGTAACAAAAAATAACAACAAATGTTACTCATTATTTTCGGGGTCTTAACATTAACAAAATTCTTGAATTTTTCCAGTAACAACACTAATTGCCGATCAACATAACAGAATAAGTAAAAGTTATTATTAGCATTTCCTCCAGGCTTATTGGTTGCTGGAGAGATGGTGAATTCTCAGGCACATCAAAATATAATCAAATATCGGTACTGACATTCGAATGTATTAAAAAATGTATGACGTGCTTCCCTTAAATGTCCATATAAACGATGGAATACACAATAGGTTTGTTCCACGAGCAGTTTCACGTTTACTCTCTCTCTCTCTCTCCATGCGCGAGTGCTAACTAGTCAGAAACAGGGCCTCACCACCCCGTAGCGGCCGGCAGCGAAACTTACTCCCAAAATGAACGCCCGAAACCCGCCATTAGGATGGCAAGAACGCGCGGGAATTAAATAATGCCTTCACTTATGAGAAAAATTCGAGATACATTCTTAGAAGTTTTAAAGAATATCCAAATATTTCAAGAACTTCCAAAAATTTCATATATATATATATATATATATTATATATATATATTATATATATATATATATATATATATATATATATATATATATATATATATATTATATATATATATATATTATTTATAATATAATTATATATATATATATATATATATATATAATTCCTGCTGTGTAAACACACCTCACAATCACTACTTCTACCACCAAGTACTGTATTGACATCAGTGTCCTGTATTGTCTCTATAGTATTTGGCTACCTTTCCAACTCGCAAAATAAAATGGCACTTGTATCATAACTACTTGTTTTACCTGGGCAAATATGCAGTAACATTTTAATTTATTTCTTTTCAACACTGTCGGTATTGTTCATGCATAATGATATGTAATAATGTAGTACTGCATAGTATTCACATTAATTTGGTGTCTACAAGCTAGTAAAGTTGCATTTAAGCTGCTGTATTGGGTTCATTGCCATCTGTAAAACCAAATTGTTAATTCTATTGAAATTGTGTTATATCAAAATGCTCAATATATACTAGAGTATACTGCCCTAATGTTACATTTTTTCTTCCATAAAATCCTTATAATTATTAATGTGAGTTTTTTGATCATTTAAGGCTGAAAGTATGGCAGTGAAATTTTAAAGTTCCTGCGGAGATGGTTTATTTCAAGAGAACTCTCGCATGTTAATACCTATTTCCCAATCCATTTGCCTAACCTTTCCATTAAGAATGAAAGTTGTTAATTAAACGTGTTTAAATGTTAATATGTAACTTCGTACTTACAGAATATCAAACAAAAATAAAAACAATGCAATTGATGTTGTACACAAATATTCAATAAAGTTTTATTCAGTATAATATAGATATGTTTTCCCAACAATTCACACTTCCTTAAAAATCAGCATTTTAAGTAATTATTCATCCTTCCTTGACAGTCACAAAAATATTAGAAAAGGTTTTCACTCTTGAGAAAGCCAAGTGAAATTTTCCTGCAAAAATACAGGATCGGGCAAGTACAACCCTACTATTTGCAATATTATTTAACTTCCCTGGATTTGTTATGAGGAATAGAGGGGGTTTTGGAGGGGTAGTGCGCCAGCTTGCTGGGGTGCGAAAATTGAAAAATGGTGTGTATACTAAAATTATTGAATTATTTTCTGCATTCTTCCCTCCACAATTAGGTACACAGCACTTGTAGATGTCCGCAAAACATTAAATGAACGTTTTCAATATATGCATAAAAAAACATCTTCATTGCAGGACAAAGCAACTAACCAGTACCTGTAGTGGTTGCTGCGAGAGCAAATCTTTAATTAATAAGTATGCAAATAAACCTTGTCAGTCCACATACAAAGCATAGTATAATGTAGAGGAATATAAGCCTTCTAGCGCTCAAAGCGTGACGTTACAAAGATGGACACAATCACTAAGGGTTGAAGTATAGATGGCATTGGTAGTATCAATAAGTGCCGAACCAACAAAAATTTAATTCGTCCTAGAATATCTCATCTTGTAGATGACGATGTGATGACAGTTTCCCTGAAGCCTTCGGCTTCAAAATTTTAGTTTTAAAGCTCTATAAAGTTTTGTTTAGAAGTTTTTTAACAATATTCCTAAGTTCTGCGGGTTGCATTTGACATGAATATTTGGATGTGTTTTTATTTTAATCAAATCCGTCATAGTTTTATAGTCAAAGTACAATTCGTGACGTCTTCGTAGATTCTCTTTCTTTAGAGACCTCATATGTAAAGATTGGTTGCATGTTAGAGCCGCGAACGGTATGTATACTACTGAAATAATATAGAAGACAATTTATTTTTGGACATCGTAAGATATTAAGGATATTTTGCCAAGTTCTGGAATGAAAATACAACACAATAAAAGAATGTGACTATTTTATAACTATTGAATCAATTATTACTTTAAAGCATTACATTACATTTCTTAGCAGAATAATAAAGAGCCAATACAATTCTATTCTATTAATACAATTTAACACACATTCGATTTTAAAGAAATATCTATGACATAACGTAGTTATAATGATAATTCAGATACTGTATTTAAATAGGTAAAACATTGAATAAAAATCTCAAACTATAATAATACCCTTCAACGAAATGACGTAGATTTGTGGGGAGGTAACACCCTCACAAAATTATCGAACTAAATAAATTTTTCATTTGAAAGTTAACTCTGCTTTTCTTAAAAATCTTCCATGTGTTCAATGTACAACATAAGACACCTTGTGTTGCACATGGATGAGACTCTTCACAGAAATCACAATTCCTAGAAATTCTATGGAATTTACTAATTACTGAATTGATGGCAATTAAATCAAGTATCATGCTTTTCTTTTCAACGAGAATGAACACACATTACAAGATTCTTATGACATATTCTGAGCTCATTATAAAAGAATAGTTCCATGACCTTGAAACATTACTCTTTATTTATTTACGTCAGAAAGAGTTAAAAACTGTGTGTGACGTGCTATGGGGAGAAGTGAAATTGAAGTTACATTTATGTCCAGAAGAAAAACAAGGCGCCATCACAGCATTTGCTCAAGAATCACGGAAACTGGACAAAAACTTGATCGACATGGGGGTCATTGACCCAGAAGCTGGAGTACCATACTTGTTACAGGTTCTTTACAATTATACAAACCAAATGATATATAACACATTAAATGTCATTGTTAAAATTAATATTTATTTCCTTTTGAATGCTCGGTATAGTCTCTAATTGTATACAAACAGTTGCGCAGCAGAAAAGATTTTACTTGAGACAAATTTTTGTATCGAATTTAATCGTTTAATGTCATCTGGCAAGGTATTGTAAAATTATATGAGGATTTTTTGTAGTGAGCTATTGATACTGTTACCTGATGAATATAATTCCTACGTCAAGTGTTGTAGTTATAGATATCAGCGTTTGCTGAAAATATATTCCCACCCTAATAGTAAGCCATTTTTAACAAAAAACACTGATTTATATATGAAGAAACAAGGTAATGGTAAGATACCTAGATTAATAAAGAGGCTTACAAGGATCACGCGGATGGGATTTGCTTATTATTTGTATAATTATTTTTTGTAATCTAAAAGTCTCGAAGCTAATCTCTCAACACTCTCTATAACAATAAAGCACACCAAACAAACACTAATATTACACAAATTGTAAATTCCATATTCTTATATGAAACCACCCCCTCTGAAATTTTTAAAATCATTGGACAAATGGAGAATAAATTCTCAGCAGGCATGGACAACATTCC